TTCCTAAACTTCCACTTAATAAACCTCTTCCTGCAGTCTTCTCTCCATGGGCATCCATCAGTTGCTAAACAGCTCTGCAGCCTCTCGAGCATGAGTGGAGAGACAACAAAGAGGGCAGGGACAGCCTGGTCTCTAACATGTATTTTATGAGGAGTGGAAAAGGAGGTGGGTGTGCTTGTTTGAAATCAGAAAAACAGCAGCTTCCCCAGCACTAATCCTGAGTATTTGCCTGGTGTGTGACTCTGGAAGGCTTGGCATTGGCCATAAGATGAGATTCCCTCTCCTTGTCCTAACAAACGCCCCTACAGTTGCTCAGCCCCAAAGCCCTCTCTGAAATCTCCCTCCTTCGTGTGGTCTGCATGACATGAAGTGGGCTCAAGAAGTACCACCAGGCTGGGTGGTGTCACCGCCTGGTCCTGCAGGAACAAAGAGCTGGGCACTATCTGGGAAGCTTCCAGTGTGTGCTGAAAGATGGATAAATGGGTGGTGATGTGTCTTGAAGGTCAGCTAATCCAGAGCTTCTCACATGCTCGTTATCTCTCTTTTTCTAGTTCAGGAGAGCTGGAGAGCTTTTAAGTACCCGGCAAGTATACTGGCAGCAACGGGAAACACCAAATAGCCCAAACTTATTGTCCAGCCTTGCAGCAGTGAGGATTAGCTCTCTTCTGGGGATGTACTAACGCCATGAAGTGCCCGGAAGAGGAGCTGGCAGCGTTCCCGCTTCACTCGTCCCGATATGAGAGGAAAGCCTGCTGACAAGTGCAATGCTGAGCCTGACTCTCGGCCCACAGAAAGCTGCAACGGGTGAAGGATGTATGGAAAAAAACAAAGCCGTCTGACTGCGGGGATCCTCTAGTTATTGCCCCCTCGTACTGACAAGCACCCGGCTTTCACCTTCCCAAAGGGTGATGCAGGCTGTCCTGCTTTCCTTGCGTAAGGGGCCAGCAGCTCTGTGTACTTTGCTCACTTTGAAGAGATCTTCTGCACCAGAAATGAGGACACAGCCAGCCTGACAGACCACGGCATTGCTTGCACCTTTGGCCCCCTCCTCTCGCCCAGGCCAGGCTCAGAGCAGGAAGGATAGACTCGCTACACAGGGAAAACTTCTGCACCATCATGCAAGCCAGGGTTTGCCCAGTAAGATCCTGGGGGAGAGAAGACACTGGGATTTGTGAAGGGAAGGCTGCAGAGACCAGATAACACCTGCTTGTGTCGGGAAGGCCATGGGGAAAAGGAGCAGAGCCAATTAAACTCACCAGTCAATGGAGAAGTAATGGGATTAAGATACAGCAGGGAGAATTCAGGTTAGATATAAGGGAGAAGGCTATCACGAAAGGAGCAGACTGGGCCATCGACTGAGCTGCCAAAGGAATCGTCGTCACCGACACAGACACGGCAGAGAGCAGACACAAGTCTGCAGGAAGAGCAGGCGCCTGACTGCTGCTCAGCCTGGAGCTGTGGTGGGTGGATGTCTGTGTGCCGGGGGAGACGGGACCACTCCACCATGGAGAGGCTGTGCGCCCGAACAGGGACAGACCATCTTTGGATATCTGTGCTGATAACCCGAGCTGCAAGGAGAATTAAATCAGCTGCCTTTTGCCCAGGGCACTAGGGTCCTTCGCCAACACTTAGGAGGAAACCTACACACGCACACCCCTTCTGCTGGCTGCGTCCCATGCTGGGGGTGGGAAGGGAGAGCCCAGCTGTCTGCCATGCTCTTCCCTGCCTGGCTAGACATGCTGCCCTGCCATTGCAGGCAGGGAGAAGGAGAGAGAGCACAACCCCAGTTTCAGTCTGTCCTCTTCAGCTCCACCACTTCTCTGCCCAAGCCACCAGGCAGCTCCTGTCCCTCCTGCCCAGTCCGGCTCCCCTCCCATGCCCAAGCACGCCATCCCCCTTTCCTGAGCCTAAGACAGCACAGGAAGGTCTCCAGCCTGGCAAGAATGGAGTAGGCTGGACCAGGGAGGCAGCTCCACCAGGTGCAGTGGGTAGGAGGGCTAAGAATATGAGGAAGGGATCTCCGAGAAATCCTGGCATGCAGCAGAGAGCACTGGTGAGAGAGGTCCCACTTCTCCTCAGGGTGCTGCGGGTCTGGCATGGCCACAGACCATGGCACTGGGACTACGTCTGGGACCTGGCTGCAGCTGGCACCATGTGCATGGGGAAGGTGTTCAGCAGCAGGAAGACCCTGCATGGATCCTGCAGGCCAGAGCAGCAGCCGTGCCTCAAAGACGCATGTATCCACCTGGATAGACCACCTCCAGAATAAGATTTCGTGGGTGAAAATGGGGCCAGAGGAATGAATTGAGGCAATCTCATGAAGAGGCCTAGAAAGAGCCAAGGACAAGGTGCCTGAAAGCAGAACTCTGCTGCAGGTGCTAAAGGATGGGGGCACAGAGACCCTACTAATCTATCCCTATTCTGAGGACTGTCTTTGCCCCAGGGAGCTAAGAGGCCTGCCAAACCTTTGATAAATCCATCTGTCCCAGGCACCTTGGAGGCTGGAGATAGAAAGACAAGCCATCGCAGCCTAATTTAAGCAACGTGTAGGAGATTTCAAAGAGAACATGTTGGGAAGGACAAGCGGACCACATTCCTCACTAATGACCCATTGCAGCTCCACTGACTGAATGTCTCCTGATTCACCAGGACATACAAGCACACACCATTATCTCCCCAGAGTCACGAGGACCCTCAGCATTGGCCTTGGCTTAATTAGGCCCTTGGAGAGAGAAGCACAAGTGCACAGCAAGCCAAATGTCATCACTAAGCAAGAAAATCCCAGGGCAGCCAAGGGGCCTGTAGCCGCTTTCACCCAGTCTGAATCTGTGCCAATAATGAGAACAAAATGCAGAAAAGGTGTGCCCACACTGGAGACCTTATGCTTCCCTGTTCTCAAAGGGACCCTCTTATTTAAGCCAACATCTAGGTCTGGTAGTGATAGTAAGGGCAGATTACAAGACAGAATCATAACGGAGTGGGATTTTAAGGGCCTTTCTGTTCACACTGCCGTTGTTTGGAGTCTAGCACTCGAGATCCAGGAGGACAAGGGCAAGAGACACTGACCAGGACACGCAAGGCACAAAGAGCAGAAGAACAGACCACTCTGGGGGCAAAGCCAAGCGGAGCCTTACAATTCCCACAGGTGCTGACCGCTCCAGGCTTGCCAGCAAGAGATGATTTTCAAAAGAGGACTGATGTGGTGGAAGGGTGCATTTGCAGCCTCCCCAAGACCTGGGAGGAAGCAGTACAGCGGCCTGACTAGAGAAACAGACCCTTCATTAATAAGTTGGCAGGAGGAAGACCAGCTGAACTAAATAAAATGCCTTACTGTTTGCTGTTACATCTTGCCCTTCTGCGATGGATGCAGAGGCAGACACAAAGCTCAAAAGCCCACGTGCTAATGGACTTGCTCTTGTCACCCAAGACCTTCTCAGCCGTTGTTTGCCCCAGTGGATGAGGGAAGCGTGGTCAGGGTGAGGAGCAGTGCTGTCTGGAGAGATTGCTGGCTGATTTGGCATGCGCCCCTCCAAAGAGCTGACTGAAAAACAGACAGCTTTTCTGAGAACAGGGACACGAGAGATCTGGGGATGTGTTGACAAAGAAGGAAAAGCTGGGTGCCTGCATGCTGCAGCCACTGATGTAGCTTCAGTGACATGAAGGCTCCTTGCCCAACATCACCGAGATCCTTTCCAGCAGGATAGAAGGGGCAGCACAGAGCTCAGAGCAGGGCAACCTGCCCTGACAAGAACAAGGCAGAGGAACCCAGGGGCTAATGGGCTACACAGAAGCCACCTCACTTCTCACAGCCTGACACCTCCCTGCAAAAACCTCTGTAGTGCAAACCAGTTGTTTTAAGCAGGTTCCCCTCTAATGTATCCCCAGCCTCTGTTCTGCAGAGCATCCCTCATGGCAGATGCCTCCCTGCCTCCCAGCTGTAGGTTCTGTACTCACGGTGGGGCCCCTCAGAAGGGGAATCCCTTTGCTCCTCATTTCCCCAGCCCGGGTTCCCAACGCTCCAGTGTGCTTCTGCATTTCTCCTGTGCAGCCCCTCAGAGCCCTCTGCCAAAACCAGGCTGCCAGGAGTCTGCAGCTCAGAGTCTGTGGCCAGAGCCCAGCCTGATCTCATGCAAAATTCACTCTTGCAGACATGCACCAACCTGCTGCTCTATTATCAATAGGTGAACTGCAGCTGAATCTACCAGAGCCTTCCCTGATGCTTGTCTGAACTGATTAGGACACACTTCAAAGCCAGGAAGGGACCCCAGCCACTTGACATGCCGCCTATTACCACGATGCCTGTCCCAGGGCCATCCTCTCCCCCTTCCCCAGCTCACTGGGGGCCTCCCGTTTTCCCTTTCCAGCTGAGCCCTCCTCCAGCAAGCATATCAGTAGCGCCGCAGATCTCCACTCCATCGGGGTTTGCACATTCATCCCTTGCCCAGTGCTGCCTGCCTGCTGTAATCCCAGACTGAAAGCCCTTTACCTAGGGGATGCTGACTCTCAGAGCTGGCGTGCTGAGGCTTCCTAAGGAGTCGAACCTGGGATCCTCTGGAGGCGGTGCCATTCCCAACAGTGAGAACAGAGTAACAGTCGAAGTGTGGTCTAAAAAAAAAAGCGGGAAGGGTGGGGAACGGTCAGGGGGAAGGGGAAGAGCTGATTCGTGGCTTTCAGCCTTTGCTCTAACCTGCCGCTCAGCTCCATGTGCCTGGATGCCCCAGACCTTTAGGCACAGGCAGTTACACGCTGCTCCCAAAGGGCCCGTTCCCCTCCACCCTGTGAGGGGCCCTGCTCCAGCGTGGGTAGCGGGGTGGGCAGAGGTGCAGCAGGGCGCTTTCTGGTGGCTGCTGGTTCCTCGGAGCACAAGCCAGCCTAGAGCTAGGGCTGGGAGCCAAAGCATCCCCCTCCCTGCATCAGGCCTCTCTTTTTATTCCCCCCTTCGTATCTTGATGCCATGAATTACGGTTTTGGAGTTGGTTTCGTTGGGTTTGGTTTTTTTTGCTTGTGGTGGTCGGTCTAGAGTTCTGTGCCGTGTCAGGGGGAGCATCAGCGCTCACCCTTCTGGGGGGTCAGAGCCACAGCAGGGTGAGCTTTCACTGTCTGCCGGAGCGAGATGCCACGTCCACTCCATCCTGATGTCCTCCTGGGCCACCGCCCTCCCCTGCGCTCCTCTCCCCAAATCCTGCGCTGGCTCAGGCCAGGCAACAGACAACAAGATCTCACTGCCCTCTGCTTTCACAGTGAGGTCTCCACGCAGGACCCGTTGCGGTGGAGGTGACGGTGGTCATGGTTCAGGCAGCCTTCGTTGCGGTGCACGATGAGGATGGGGAAGTAGAGGGCGTCCTGGTAAGGAGGGGGGTCTTCCTCCTCCACAGTCACCTGGCTAGAGAGGCGGGTCTGCTCGGTGGGACAGCTCTGCTCGTTCAGGCTCCCGCTCCGGCTCTGCCAGAGGCAGCTGCGTCGCGAGCCATACAGGCGGCCCCTGAAGGGGATCCTGGGGCTGCCATTGCAGATGCTCAGGGCACTGCGGGAGAAGATGGAGGAGCTGCTTATAGTCCTGTGGCACCGCTCGCAGCTTCTCCGGTAGCCCCCGTACCGGCAAGTGGAGTAGCTGGTGCAGCCAGAGAGCCCCACCAAGTCCATCAGGACCGCTTCCGAGTAGCTGGGCACCAGCTGCTGGTTGGATCGGATGTGCCATTCCAGCTCGGTGCTGTCCACCGTGTTGACGCGGGGCATCCTCCGGCAGAAGGAGCGCTCCTCGGCCGGCGTCACCGCCACGTAGTCAAACCCAAAGAGTTTCTCCACGTGGTAATGGACATAGGAGGTGCGATACTCATTTAGCACCCGCAGGGGCCAGGATAAGGTCAGCAGAGCCGCCACCCAGAAGACATAGTGGGATACGTACCAAGGCAGGTTGTCTGGGTCGGAAAAGGCCACCATGTATTCCTTGAAGTCCACGTTTTTGAGGTGCATCCCCTCCCTGGCCTCCATGTAGTCATCTAGGCCCTCATTCTCTGTGAAGAAGCGGGCCCGCTGGGTCAGGTAGGAGTTCTCTGACTCCACGTTGGCAAAGCTGAAACACTTGGTGAAGCGGAGCCGCGTGGCCGGGTAGCTCTCCAAGTCAATGAGGTCCTTGGAGATGTCCTTAACTCCACAATTGGAATAATCAAACTCAGCCTCTGCCACGTGGGTGTTGACCCGCTCGTGATACACTTGAGTGGTGGTGTAGGCGTCCCCGTTGCGGTAGCGGGTAACCTGCCGGGTCCTGCGGACGTAGTGGTAGCTGATGGCCTTCCACCAGATGCAGGGGGTCGCCTGCTGCATCCGCTGCACACGCTCGTGCACACTCTCCACATCCACTTTGTACTGCAGCTCGTTGCGGGTGTAGCAGTGCCAGCACTCCACCAGGTACACCACGTAGAGCATCACCAGGAAAGCCAAGGGGATGTAGACGTAGCCGTTGGAACAGGGGCTGTCGTGGTACATCATGGACTTGCCCTTGTAAGCGCTGTCAAAGGTCAGCCGGGTCACCTTGGTGACATGGCACCAGGTCATGGCTCCCATGCAGCCGTACATGAGGAGGGACAGCAGCAGGCATTTCCAGTGGGACTCTCGGCACAGGGACTTGCTGAGAGACTGCTTCACTGGCCGCTGCTGCTCCGGGGCACCGGGAGAAGGGAAGAGAAAACAAGAGAGGAGTCAGTAGGCTGCAGCGGCAGGGGGAAGGGGAGCAGGCAGCAGGGTGCCATGGTGGCACCTGTAGCTCTGTGAACGGGGACAAAACAGCAGATGCCATAGGGCTCCTAGCCTCAGCAGGCAGGCCGGAGGCCGGGATCTCTCCCAGGATGACAGTCCCACAGTGTGGGCAACTGTCACCCCCGCTTCCCTTCACGGAGCTCTGCCCCTCCTTGGGAGATGGCCAGAGCCCAGCTGGATGTGGAGGAGAGCAGCAGAGGGCAATTCTGCTGGCCTGCGCCCCGAGCATCCCCCTTCTTCAATGGGGAGTAACCCTCACCACTACCACGTCCCAGGGAGGGGTATTGAAGCACAGCAAGATGGAGGCTGAGGGGTCTCCCCCACATACCTCAGCTTCTGCACCCATCTCACCAGCGCAGGCAGCTTTAACTGATGGGTCGTCCCACCTGAACACCTCACCACAGCTCATCCCACCATGCCTCTCACCGCTCGCACACAAGTCTCTCTCCCTTTCCCCGTAACAACCAACAGCAGCATTCAGATTTCTCCTACCAGGGCAGCACAAGTGTCCTGGGGTGCCTGTAGAGCGGAGAAACAGACCTTCTGCAGCTGGGAAGGTCTCTGTTTGGTAATGGCGACTCCCACCACAACACTTGGCAGCCGAAGGGGCTCTGAAGTGCTTCTCAAGTGCTTTATAAACCACACAAATGGGAAAGTACTTTTCCACAACTGAAACGCAGCCACCTCTGATGGGAGAGAAAGTGAATATGGAATAATGTCCTAAAAGGTGTTCAGGCTGGAAGAGGAGAGCACCCCACTGCTCTGCAGTAGCAGGGAGCGCGAGTGGCCAGTCACGGCTGCCAGCAAATGTCCCTGCTTGCACTGGGATTTGGGTGTGACAGCCCACACTTCTGGAAAAACTGCTCTCAGGTCTTTCATGGTGAGGAAAGGGCAGGACTTCAGCAATAGGACTTTTAAAAGAGATTGCACTGGTGCCTTCACCATTGGAACCATGCAGGGTTTCACAAAGACCCGGGAAAAAAAACCACTTAAGGAAACCTCTGTCACTCTCTGCAACACCCTGAAGTCTCAAGTATTGATCCAGCTTGGTCAGTGAGACCTGACATTATCACACCCAAAGGGAGAACAGGCAAAGAGGTTATTTGCTTTCTTACACAAAAGACTTCATCCAGCACAAATACCATCCAACCCAGCAATCTCCAAAGGTACAACCTGAGAGAGGGAGGCAAGAACCCCAGCCTTGTGCAGATGCCACTAAACCCGCTAAGAGGCTTTCAGCTTTGCTTTCCCTCCCCCACTGCACGCAGCACGGCTCCTGAGCTCACCTCCGCTGTTGTAGGGGCTAACACCAGCTGTAATGACACCACTCAGGGCAGTGAAGTCCAAGTCTGGCCCCATCCCTCCTCCATTCCTGAGCGCACTGGGCTGGAGAGGTCTTTCATCCAGGGATCCCAAAGAGCTTAATGGGCTCACGCTGCTAGAAAGCAGGGGGGTCACTTTCACTCTCGCACGAAAAGGGAAATTAAAGAAAGAACCAGAGGTCACAATGTCACTGGCAGGTCTAGAGACAGATCTGGGCCTCTTCTTTCCTCTGAGAAAACCCCCTTGCTCTCCCTGAAGAGCCCCTCAGCCCTGGCTTGGTCCCCTAAAGTCCCACATGCTAATCTTTCCTCCCGACACCTTGCCAAAGCCTGGTCCACCCCATGCCAGTGGGACTTCTGCCACTGCGATTAGCAGGGCTGGATCTGGCCCAAATCTCCAACAGAGGTTTCTCTCCCGGAGGCAGGGAGCTTCCCTTCCTGCCCGCCCAGCAGCCAGCCTGCGATGAGCGGAGCAGGCGTCACATCCAGAGGGGTGGCGAGGGGAACGATGGCATGTCCCAGTGGCGGTCCAGAGCATCAGTAGCACTAAGCCCCCCTCTTTGGGGCAACCAGCTGAGAGCAAGAGCTGGCGACAGAGACACAGAGCCCAGGGAAGGCAGGTGGGGTAGCGCTGGTCTGCAGGCAACAGCGAGGGGCACGGGGTGGCTCTGCTCAGCAGCTCTGGCATGGACACATGCGCACCCCAGTCTTCCCAGTGTGACCCTCCACTGCGGCAGCCTCACAGTCGTGGGGCAAGAAGGGAACCCCGGGTAAGAGAAAAGGGAGAGAGGAGAGGAAGAGGGGGCACCCAGTAGGCAGAGCCACTGGGTGCCCTGCCTGCTCAGGTCCACGCTGTGGTTACAAGAGCCTGCCCGGATCCCTCTGCCTTTGCTCAGCTGCAGCACGGCTCTCCCGCGCTGGACTGCTGTGCCACTACCCAGGTGGCTGAAGGTTTCCTCTCCCACAGCTGCCTTCTGTGTTGCAAATCCTCCCTGGCAGTGGCAGCCCTGGCTGCGAGGCTCTAAGGGGACTGCTCAGCCAAAGAAGGAACACGGGGGGTCTGAGCAGGAGATGCAAGGCACACGCTAACCCTGGGGTGTCTGTGGGGTGAGAGGGCTTGCACAGAAACAGTGCCTTGTTTGGGGGGGGATCTGCAAACGGAGCACAAGGAATAAAGCAAAGCATTCAGCTCGCTCATTTGACAAGTTGGGGAAGGGGCACCAGGGAGGCAGGTTTTCGGCCAGGTCCATCTCGGAAAAGCAAATTTCACCTCTCAGTCGCTCCCCGGCCCCTCACATCCCGCACTGCCTGCATCGTCTTGCTCAGGAGAAGGGCGATGCTGGCTGTCGCCCTGCGGAGATGAAGGCAAGCCCCGCTGCGGTTACCCACCCGGGGCAGGGCGGCAGGCAGTGCGATGCAGCCCAGGCTTGGTTCCAGGAACTGTGTTAGCAGGGCTCTAGTCCACACATTAGTCTCCTCCTAGGACTACGCAGCATTTAGATACTGCAGCGCTTTTACAGGGTCACGCTAACCCCCTGCTGTAAACTGTTTACAACCCAGTTTTGTCCTAGGCTTTTGAGGTAAAACACATACACATCGGCCACGCTGGTGGGGTTTCTGAAAGCTGATAAAGTGCCAGTGACAAGGGATACAACCACAGCAGAGACGGAGGAGGAGCCAGCTGCAGAGTCTAATCCCAGTAGGAACTGCAGCATCCCTGCTCCTCTCCCGGGCTGCAAAGGGCTCACAGGAGCAAACAACTGGCTCCGTGGCTTCCCCCTGCAGAGGCAGCTGAATAAGGTTGCCTCCTCAAGCTCTTAACCAGCCTTGGAGAAGACCAGCACAGCAAACATGCAGATGAAAAAGCTGGGGAAAGGGAAATCCTTTCTGTCCCAGAACAGTCTCACTGAGAGGAGAGCAGGCTCTGATATAAATGACATAGTCATCTGCCCGCTGCAGTCTGCTGGAACGAGGTGAAAGGCTTGCCCTACTTCACTGCAAACAGGGTTTCCCTCCATCACTGGAAGCCTCCCCCATTGCTCAGGCTTGAGCACTGGAGAGTGGTAAGCAAATCTGCTATTGCAGGTGCATCTAAACACCTCTGCAGTGCTAGGGGGCAGAACTGGTCCAGCCATGGCTTGGCCAACCCCTTTGTGGGATCCCAGTCAACTCCCTTCTCTGTGCTTCCGTTCACCATGTAGGACGCATGGGACAACCCTTACCAGGCGCCTGGGCACTAACTGTAACACACATTGGGAAGGGCAAGGGGTAGAGTGTTGCTACAGCCTCCCCTTCCCTCATACACAGTGTTTGCCCCTGAGGTGAAAGGAGATGGAGTCCCACACCTGCAGCTGCTGCTCTGGGATGGATGGGAAGGGGTGGAGGGGATGACTTATGAGCAGCCATGAAGCAAATGGAGATGCCCACAATGCACAGGGCAGAGGCAGTAGAAGAGAAGGCCCCCATCACTGCTTGCACTTAACTCCTTTGAGATATGGGGACTCCCCTTCTCAAAAAAGCCTTGAGGGGTTAAACCTGCCCAGAGCCCCTGTGGCCAAGCACATGGGCCAAAATACCTTCATCACCCCTACAACCTTGACCCTGCAAATTTGAACACTAAACAACTCCAGAAATCCTTCAAGCTCTACAAAGCTCCTCTCTGAAACAGCCTGGCCCCGGCCCCATCTACCGTCTCTCCATTTAACAAGTGTACCCATGTCCTCACCTCACGTGTCTCTCACCTGCTTCTCCCTACAGAGACCAGCCTGAAATCTCCAATTCACCCCCAGAACGCTAAGTCCTCACTTTACAAGATGCCCCAGGGTTCACAGGGTTAGGTGTCCTAGATACAGCCCTCTACAGGGCTGAAAAAATGAATCAAAAGCCCCAGAGCAGCAGCCTGAAGGCCCAGGTAGCTCATGAGTGCCAGGCTGTGGCAGCAGCTTGCAGGGGACTCCAGTGGGACTCCTGAGCATCAGTTTCCATGGCTCTGCCCTGCCGATTTGCTTACATCATGCAGCAAATGAATAAGCCCTGTCCCCTTTGGCCTCAACTCCCCAGAACAAGGCAGGTGGGGAGGATTCAGTCATTTCTAGGAACTGCCACCGTCTTCCAAGGCCCCAGACAGACATCGGCAACTCCTGGTCAGGATGGTCTCAGCAAACCCCCGCATTACACCCCACACGCCTACCACCCAGATTCAGGAGCTACCTGCCTAGAAGAAAGAGCTGGCCCAGCCCCAGGCTGGCAGCATTGCCAACTGCAGAGGAAAGGGGAAGGCTGAGCATCTAGGAGTCAGGGAACCCTGCCAGCAGTCAGCTCCTGCAACAGTACCAAGGTCTCCATTTTACACAGCAATTTGGAGGAGGACTGGTTCCCTCCGTCGGATCCCACCTGAGCAGCAGGGCAAGAACATTTTTTTGCTTTTTCCCAAGCTGAAGAGCTTGTCCCTTGGCGTTTCATACCCTCCAAGGTGGAAATGCATTGCTGAGTGAGATTCAGCTCACCACCATTAAGTGTAGGTATATGCATGTGATGCCAACAGGGAACAAAGGCTCAGGCAGCCCGCTGCAGCCAGCTCTGGCCAGTAGCTCTTGCTACTTGCCTTGCTGGGACAAGCTGAGCAGCACCTGAAGTCTTGTATGCCTCCAAGGTACAGTGGCCCAAGACACGTCAAGATGAGGCACCTTCAAACAGGACAGAGCTCATTTTCCATTTTCCAGTCCCCAGACATCTCCTCTGGCTCCCTGCCAGCCCTGGCCAATGGACCCTTACAGGTGGGATTCAGCCACATTCCCGGGACACTCAGCAATGCTGGCAGCAGCAGTTGGTCCTGATGGAAACGAGGACATCACACTGCCAGTAAGGCCTTATGCAGGCACTATAGGGGAGCAGGAACACCCTCCCCTCCCGATATTTCTGAAGACAAGAGGATTGCCCTAGGTCAGTCCATGAATCCAAGCTCCCCACTAAGGTCTCTTCTCATGGCGTCAGATGAGACACCAGCAAGCATGGCACTGTCAGG